ATTTTTAAAATATCGGCATATCGGATATCGGCCAAAATCCCAATATCGTGCATCCCTAGCTGTAATCAAATAATTGCATCATGATTAATTAGGGTAAAATAGTTTATGACATCAAAATTTTAACTTCTCCAAAAAGGAATTTTTTTCAGTGCATTTCTACTGCCGTCCACTAGAGGACAGTGGAATTAAATAGCCTGACAGCATATCGGAGCGACATACCCCATCCGTTAATGATAGTTTTAACATCTCTGTACAACAACACATTTTTTCAGCAACTTTAAAGATTCCTGTTTTGTTATATTTTCTAAAAAAAAATTAGTTTGATAATATGTAACAATCCATATTTTAGTTTATTCTGTTATTATTTAATGAACCTGGAACCATAAATTGTTAAGATATATTGACTCGACACTTTTTTTTTTTTTATCCAGTATATTAGAATATATTTAGACCCTTATGTTAATGGAAAGATTCTTTTAATAAAGGAAAAAACTAGCGCTAAAACAATTAAACAGATTAATCGTGATTAAAAGGCTAATTGTCAACTATTAACTGGAGTGTAATGATGGTAAAACTTACCTTTAGCTGACAGAGAAACACACTTAGAGCAGGAATTATCTCAAAACTGTTAAAGATATATAATCATTTTGCATTTAAGATAAAAAAAAACTTTTTATCAGTCAATATACTCCATCTAGAACCCCTGAAGTGCAAATGATTTAGTTTCAACTGCTTTAAATTCGTAAAGGAACTTCTTTAGGGAACCTTTGGCTTTCTGATTATTAATCAATTTATAGAAAAAATATTTGACAGATTAATCAATCCATTAGTTGCAGCCCTAAAGAACAATGAGTTGTACTTTTATTTAATGGCTGCTTCTTAATAAATCATTGGTTGCTTGATAACATCAATTCATTTTAGATTAATCTACTAATTGATAACTTGCATCGTTAGCAGGCAAATATAATATAAAGGTAGATATGGGTAACCTGCTATATCGGCAATATTGATACGTTAATATCGGCCATGACTCCCGCATTGATTCATCCTCTGTGACTCTTACAAACCAAAGTCTGACATGTGTTGCTTTCTACCAAATACGGCGTCAAACACCCTGCTGTCTAATGACACACGATTTACTTCACAGCTGTATTTCACAACAACGACTGCGTGGCTTCAGCTTGCACAACAGTTATTAGTGACGGCGTCATGTGTAATGCATGAGTGGAACAGAAAACCATTCCCATTATCCACACAAACCAAACCAGTTGCTTCACATGAGGTTAGGACATCACTAGGAAATCCCTGAACGTCACATTTTTCTCTTCCTCATTTAATATTCTGTCAATTTCTCCCCATATAGAGAAGGAAAAAAAGGACCAGCTGTCAGCTTGGCTCTCTTCTCAGTCCCTGAAAGCAAATACTCACTTTCATTACTTGGTTTGGAAAACAGAGACACCGAATCCTCCTTCAGACGTTCTGCCCAATGATGCGGAAATACCTCGCGGTAAAAGCCGCCGTCTGATTGAAAGCGTGGCCTCTCTCTCACAATGCGAGAGCTTCCAACCCGAGTTCATGGCCGCCTCAGAGATCCTCCTCAGAAGATTGAAGGGGCAGAGAGGAGACGGGTTGTTCGTCGGATGCTCACTTGTCAAGCGTAGCGAGGCGACGGTTTGAGAGAAACTCCCTCCCTGGTCGGGGAATTCATCCGAAACACAAAGAACCCCCCCTTCATCTCTACCCCCATCCCTTCCTGGCCATCATTAGCATGTTAATGGACGTCAGGGGAAACAACAGGAGAAGCAGTGAGAACCTACAGCTGAAAGCTGAAAGGAGAAGGCATGGGAACGGCGGCTCAGGGTGGATGTTCATCTGACTGGACCTAAATGGCTCCAGATCAGCTGAAACCCAAAAAGGCCCCAAAATGCAATCAGCTGATGAACAGAAGAGAAGTCAGCCTTTCCTTTTCATCAAACCTGATTAAATGGCCGCCGTGACCCGGCAGAGAAACACGCTAATTAAATGTATTTCTAATGTGTTCATCTGGAAGAACACCTGAATAGTTTCCACTAACAGCGTTTCCTGACAACAACTTCCTGGAAAACTCCTTTATAACTCATCTCATTGTTGGCGTCCTGGTTAGCTTTACACTAAACATGGAGTCTGAGTCAGAAAAACATGGAGAATATAAAAAAAGGTGTATCTGTGTGTGGTTCATTCTTTGGTTTTTTGGTTTCAAAAACAAAAACGAAAAAACAAAAGCAGCATGTGGTTTTTCTGTTTTTTCGTTTTTTAAAACCTAAATCGAAAAAATGAAAAATCGAATCAATAGAAAATCAACAGCGTTTGAGTTTTGTTTTGCCATCTAACTGAAAATAAAATACGTTTGTTGTTTTAATATGTAGCGGTACCGGAAATGAAGTAAGTCGCCAAAGAAAAATCATTTACGGCGGATGAAGACGGCATCAAAACAAACCATTTCTAAACAAAAGGCAATGGCTGCACTCGAACCGTTTTCCGCATTGATTATCGAACTTTTTGAAAGAAGAAAAACACACTGAAATCAGTGATGCTTTGAGCCGCCATGGAGCTCAACATTGCTCGGTAATGAGTGTCAGAAGGTTTTGTATGGAGCACACATTGTGAAGACACAACGATGTGTCGGGCGCCGATTTGGAACTTGGAATATTAAAGAGATCTTGTTGACGGTCAGATCATTATTTCTCAATGAAATGCGCCGATTCCCTCTAAATAACGCAAACGTTTCCATGTTGGTAGCGCTAACTGAAAAAGTTCTTCTTCTTGTTGATTGTAATGGCAAGAAATTGAAGGCGTACATTACCAGCAGTGAGGTGTTGGGAGTTCAGGTCTTTATTTCCGGTTCTGCCATAAGGTCCATTGAATTAACAACAAAATAAAAGTTTGTCTTCGGTTTAACCATTGCAGTAAAAAAAAAAGAAAAAAAAACGTACCCTTTTTTAATTTTCGCAAATGTCGTTTTTTATAATTTCGTTTTAAAAACGGAAAAAAAAAACACACGCTTGTTTCGTTTTTTCGTTTTGAAACTAAAAAACCAAAGAATGAACCATACACGGATTAACCAGAAGTCTGTGGAGTGAATTTTGTTCCTTATTGTTGCTTTTTTTGAAAATGTAAATTTGAAGAAAAAAAAGAAAAAATGCGAAACAGAAATTAATTCTAATTAACAGAAATATTTTCTTTGACAAACAAAACCAGAAGTTTTCTGGACTGAATTTTGAACTGTTGATTTTTTTGAAAATGTAAGTTTTTTGGGAAAAAGCAAAAAGAAAAACAGAAATTAACTCAAAGTAACAGAAATATAATTTTTTTTTGAATTACTTTTGTTTATAAACCTTTCTTTTTTAAAACAATTATTGTTAATGATTTTATATTTTCTAAATTTGTAAATATAACATCTGTAACAAATGTTAAAAAAATGTAATTGAAAAAAAAAAAAAAATGAGCATGAAAATTTATAAATTTTGTTTTTTCTTATCAAAAACTATTTCAAAGTTATACCAAATGTGTTTTTTTTATTTCAAATTACCATCAGATGACATGTTATTTTACTGAGAGACTAATGAAACAGAATTCCCTCCTTTGGACGTTTTCATCTGGACAGCGAGCAGAGGACATGTTTGCCTCAAACTAAAGAAAGAATTGTAGGGAAACAACCCGACACCCACTGTGAAGCACAGAGATAGAAGCATCATTGTTTGGGAAGCTATTGCTAAAGGAGAAAACAGCAATCCCCTGAAAAGGCAAACCACCAAAACTGCTTTGGAAACCTGGATGTGTTGCCTTCAGTCTCTGAGCTCATTAACATTGACCCACCCAACAGCTGTAAGGGCCAACAAAAGGCTAACTCACTTATCCCAACCAGGCCCTTCATCCCATAATGATCACCTCAACTGGCTGAAGCCGTTTATTGGCAAAGAGGAATTAAATAAACGTGCAAAACCTGAAATTCTTGCACACTCTGCAAAGCATGGCGCAGACTGTAAAGGTGGCGTCCCTTTAAAGAGCGGCCCCCTGGTTGCTGAACAGCCCCTCCCCACTCGGAGGTGGCGTTGCATAAGAGCATCAGAGGTGGAACATGCAGTTATGATGATGCCCGCCTGCCCTTTACAGGCTGGTTATAAATAGCTCTTTGCCATTGGGCGGTCACTGACAGCAGGTGTCTGGAAGCTCATCAGAGCTTCCATGAACCGCCGCTGTGACTCAGCGCATGTCAGCATTAACGCAAATAACACTCAGATCATGTGAGATCTGTTTACTCTGCGGAGATAAGCTCTCACATGATGATGATGATGAAGCTCTGAGAGCTAAGAAAAACATCTGAGCAAACTCTGCCTTAGCAAAGTAGTGTTCACACCTCCTGAGCCGGTTTTTATTTATCTATCCTCTATCTTCACTCAATCTTAGCTTGATTCCTGTGTGAGAAAAACAAAGCGCCGCATAATGAAGTGAAACTAAACCACTAAAGATAAAAATGCGACATTCACACAGTAGATCATCTCTAGTTTTGGCTCATCTAGACGTTAGAATATCTGCAGAGTCATTCTTAAAAGGAAACTCTAACTAAACCATTACAGCTCCGACTCTATGAAGGACTGGCTTATAATAATAGCTGATATGTCCCTACTGAATCCCCGCAGCATGATGATACCACCACCTTGTTTCACACTAGCTGTGGATGTTTTAATTGGATGCGTTACGTGTTGAAAGTGGGTCCAAATTAAGACCAAAATCTTAGTTTCAATAAGTTCTGAAAGGGTGAATATGTGGAAACAAAATGGAATCCATAATAAAACAGGCAGAGTAAGAGCTACAGTGGTTTATGAAGTCATCATGACCACTGCAGACTAAGCCCTGACACAGTAAATAATAAATAATAATAATATAATTGAACTTTATTGATCTCACATTGGAGAAATGTAACTCTGCATTTAACCCATCCCATTGGGGAGCAGTGGGCCGCCATCATGGGGCGCCAGCGGGAGCAATCGGGGGTTAAGGGTCTTTGCTCAGAGAGCCAGAATGGCAGTCAGTGGGAGTGGGTTTCGAACTCACAACCTCAGGATTTCAAGCTCCATGCCCTAACCGCTAGGCCGCCACTCTCCTTTAAAAAGATTAATTTAATATGTTTGCTTGTTTGTTTTTTTTTCCTCCTATTTTCCTCTCTTTCTGCTATAAATTCAAGTTTACGATGAAACAAATGTTTCTAAGCAAACATTATCAATTAATTGAATGCAAGAACTTTTTATCTAATAAACCAATAATTGAAAACAAAAATTTTATCAGCTGCTGCATGGAAAAAAGCAAAATGGGATTTGCTCTGACTTTATTTGACTCCTTGTCTTACTCTTAATCAGCTGAGATTCAATCACAGAGGCGTGTTATTTACTAATTAGATGACCTCTGACTGGAACATCTGGACTTAAAGGACTAATGTCTCAGCATGATCTGGAAAAACTAATCCATGCGT